TTACAAATAGGGTGAGATATGAGAAAAAAAAACATATATTCAACAAACTCTCACTTTTTTACCTTTTAGGTTACTTTCACCTGCAATCACTCGAAATGTAGTTATCTCGAGAAATTTAACTTGACCAACTTTATTCGCTACTGAAAATCATTGATATAATCTATCTTATATTTGACGTAGCTTATCGCCAAAGACTGTTTTCACATAAAAATGTCTGAGATTGGTTTAGACAATATCTATAGAATTAGCTTGTTTGCCGACATTGAGTTATCTAATTGTCTAAGCAGCTTACATGCGAATATTTACCATGCATTAATATCATACATTCGGGATTACATGATGAAAAGGGTAGCGCTGACAGTATTTTTGTGGACATGCTTAAAAAAGAATCTGCCAAGCAAGGGACTGGATTTGAGATATGATCAGTTTAGATTTATCAATTTTGCTTAGCTTTATAGCTTAGGGATCATATGTTATCTGCTTTTTACTCGAACATGGGGCAGTTTTCATATGTTTACTGTAATAATGGATGCAGTCAGTTTCCCTATTTTAGGAAATGCTCACAGTATTCTAGAGGAAAGAAAAATTCACAGAATTTCAGAGAATTTTCTTGTATTTAGAAGAAAGTATGGTTTGAAAAATTTCTATATGCAAAGCAGAGTTCTTGTATGTATGTTGCAAGTTGAATGTGTGCATGTTTTTGTTTTTTTTTAAATTTAAAACTGGTTTGGGGAATTCTGCGCATGTACCTTTTTAGCATATGTAGATAACATAAGTTCTTTGAAAAAGAAATGCTGTACTGATTTTTGTGCCTTTTTGCTGTAGGCCTAGAAGTTGGTACGTTAGATAAGTTGATAGCTTTTACGGTTACGATGATAGAGGAGGAAGTCGATTTTACTTATTGATATTCTAGCACTTGATGGCTGGAATGTAGGTGCAGAGGTAGGTTGATAAGCTCTTTATGAAAGTAATCAAACATGACTCAAAGCTATCTTAAGAGTAGTGGTTGTCTAACTTTTAGGTTAGTAGGTTGTACATGCTGATTATGAACATCTATCTCTTTGTTCATAGTACGTGTTTCACCAATTCTTCATGCTTTACAAATATTTTGAAATTCTGAAATGAGGTAAATATGACTGATAAGTTTTGCACAAAAACGTAAAAACCAAACAGAAAGTTATTAACCCTCAAAGTATCAAAGCGACAAAGCATGGCTAGATATCAGCTGGTGTTAGTCTAAGTCAAGTGATTTTTTTTGCGTCAGACTTTGCACCGTAGAAAGATACTAGTTTCTGTATGGATTTTGAGGAATATAGGTTTTAGTTTGAAATTATTCGGTTATTTAAAAATGATATCTTCAAAAAACAGGCATTTTTTCAAACTCAATTCTTTTTTGAGGAAAGATTTGCTGATCCATTCCCCTAGCTGAGTGAAAGAAGGGTTTTAATAAATATTGACCAGTAAACCTAACACCAGTCTTTTTCTAGTGAAGCTATTTATTTTATACTTGTTTCAAAGTATCCGTATTTTGGTCTCTCTCATTTTGAAGGTCAATTGGGATCCTGTAGACAATACTGTTCTGGCTGCCGAACAAATCGACTCAGAAGGCCGAAGTTGGCGTAGTGGAGCTATCGCTGAAAAACGAAAACTACGACAGTGGATGGTAGAAACGCCGCGTTATGCTAAGGTATAGTCATGTTTCAAGCAACAAAAGAGAAGAATCAATGATTTCGTCTTTTCTAGAGACTTAGTGAGGGTTTGCGGCGTCTGACGGAGTGGCGGGAAGTTGCAGATATTCAACTGAATTGGATAGGAAAATGCGATGTGTACAGATTTTTATTCCCAATCAGAGTAAGCTTGCATTCGACCATAATTCTTTGGGTAATGCTGTTTCGAAATATTAAACCGAGATTTAACAAAATCTGAAGAAGTTATCAAAATAATACTGTCTAACCATAAATTAAGGTGAAAATTTAGATTGCGGCTTTGAAGCCCAGCTTAGCTCAAGTTTATTTTGATAACAAGGATCTACA